ACCTTAACGTCATACATCGCTCGAAAGCCCCTTGTGCACAGAATACGAAAATTTCGTCATAACTATCAATTTCAAAAATGGCAACTTCGACTGACGATTTTACTGTGACCGTTACGCAAGTTCATTAAATCAGCAAGAGTCAGCGTAACCATTAATAATTGCGAGTTTGAATTTATGGATCTTTCTGAATCCTACTCTGCTTCCTGTGCGAATGATGAAGAAAAGGCTGAAATATTACAGCAACTTCAACACACCGGAATTTTGCGGTGAAGGTCCACAAGCATGGAGCACCGACGCGGCCAGTCGTCTCAGGGAATGGTAGCATTCCTTCATTCTTATCGACGATCGTACAGCTAGTACTCTCGAATTACATTTGATGATGAATTCCCATGTCAAAAATTCCATAGAATTCACAAAGGATTTTCCTCAGCTGGAAGCGAAAGAAGCAATTATGGTAAGGGATGACGTCAAAAGCTTGTTCACCAGCTAACCACTCAAAATATCTCTACTCTAGTAGCAAAATAAGCTCGAGGGTGATTAAGAGTTTGCGAAAAAGACTACTCTGGCAGTTAAGCCGACATATTCAATATCCGCGTTCAAATTCCATGGCGAACTATGCTAATAAACTAACGGTTCATCGATGGGTGTTCCGTTGCCGCCGGTCCTAGCGGAAGTTTTATGGAATATTTAGAAACACTGGCATTCATTACCTCTAACAAAAACATTTGCCTATTTTGATACTGGTACGATGATAGCGTACCCACCGTCTGCAAAAAAGATACCGAGTCACCCTTCCTGGATCACATTAATACCTTATATTCAAGGAAAATCATATTCACAATTGAATTTGAGCAACGTGACTCGATAAATTTCCTGGACACGCTTCTCACGAGAAAGGCGAACAAGTACATTGAGGTGATTCAGAAACCAACGCCTACTAGCAAATTCCTGCTGTTCGATTCGAACCATGTGTATTGCGCGAAGAAGAGCATCATTAGCACTCTGGTTAGTGGGTGCTTCGATTGGAGCTGAGACGACAATGATATCCACTAAGAACTGGCCGACATACGAAGAGTTCTCAGAAACAGTGGTTACCCTAGACGAATGATAAAGGGCAATCAGTATCCAGCAAAAGAAGAGTATGAATTAAGAAACTAAATGAACGAACCCTAATTTTAACACAAGCATGGTTATTCCGTTTGTACCAAGTCTAATTGATAAGCTGCAGAGGATCATCCGTAAACACGGAAAACGAGTGATATTCAGATCCAAAATTACTGATGCGGAGCTAGCTGATGCACGTCAAAACCGCTGTGCAGAAATCGCAACAGTAAGACTTGATTTGCATCATCCCTGTACGTGTGGTCTCGACTATATAGGAGAAAGCGGCAAAACCATGAAAAGAGGAAGAACGAACCTTCTCTACGCCTATCTACGCCAGAATGGCCAAATGCAGAAAGGCAGAGGGCGGAAACAAACGAAAGATCCACAGATTATGAAGCAGGAATGCAAAAAGAAATGGAGGACGCGCAACGCGCAGTTAGAGAACAACACCGATTATTTTGGGGATACATATGAGAGGGAATACACCGAGAGCGAAACTTTCTGAAGAAGAAGATAGAAGAAGCATTTGTAATACAATAAAATCAGTGCATGAATAAAGTCGTTGGTATGAATTACGTTCGCACTGGAGCGAGGTTATCAAGTGACTTCCACTATCCAGACGAAACCCTCCATAGTGAATTATGTACCTGAATACACAAACAATTATTCAAACATAGTTTGCCCGATATGTAGAAAGATACCTGAAGAAAGATCGAGCATGATCCGAAACGTTGGAGACCCGGTGCATAATAAATTTTATACACGGTGTAATCGCGTAAAATACTTATCGAGTGTTCCACTAAATTCCCGCATAAACAATTCTACCTCTGTTTTAAAATTTGTAGTTCAAGAGCTTGTCTATTATAATATTTACAGAAAAGTGAGAATTATTGCAATATAAACTTTCAAAATTTAGTATATATCTTAGGGATGGAAAGTGCTTGAATTGAGGCAGATAGAAGTGAGTTCAGGCATAGAACTCAAACAGGTATGCACCAGTAGATTTCTAAAAAAACTTTAACAGGAAATTCTATTGGATCCCGTTCAGGATCATCAGTTTTAGCCAACATTGCTTCCAACATCTGAAATGAAACACAACTGTTTCTCGGTCAATCTTTTCTCATTTATTCATGTTTCTTGGGAGCATTGAGCAAGTTTCAGAAATGACTATCAGATAATTAGACACTAATTTATTTATTTAGCTTTTATTAAATTCAGATTTGGTTTACTGTTTGCACCTCATGCTAATTATTCAGCTGTCAAATGAGTCATAGTGAACTGCAGCGGTAGAGCACCCTCACCATATAGCATGATCATCGATTTCACTCGTTCTGACATCGCCACACAAAAACATAATTTTGTTATTGTTGTTTGTATGTGGTACAGGACATGCTACAGATTTATGAACGGCTGCATCAGTGCACAGTGAAGTCAATTCCTGACACAAATGAAATTAGTAGAAAAATTCCGCACCTTCTAATTGCAATGCCATACTATTACTCCATTATCCATGTCTTCCCGAACTGTTTATGCAGTTCTGTAATATGGTGACGCACCCTCAGCTGCGGACAGCTGTTACATTATCAGAGCATCCACAGCTAGTTTCTACATTCGATGGCTAAGTGCGGTTTTGTTGGCAGAAAGCAGCCGAAGAATTCTGGAAAAGGTTACAGGAAGAAGAAGATGGCTCTTGGAGGGATTATAGCGCGGAGATGATTTTGAAGCAGATCTAATCCTCTGCTCTCGTTGCTTTATTTCATGAATTATTTGGATATAACTAAGTGTCAAGTAATTATTTGCAGGGCTTCCTTCGTTGTAAAATTCATAGGTGCAGTAGCAGGTTACAAAATAGAAAGGAAACTTTTAAACAGTTTATTTTCTGATTTGCTTTATTTAAACGCATATTATGCCACAGAACGTGCAAACAATTCAGTACTGATCCAGCAGCACTTCAGTAAATCGTCTCGTCGAGGCGAACTTTAATGCATAAATGAGGCATTGCTGTAGCTGCATCCGTGTCAGCGGCAACTTTTGGTAGAGTGCATTGCTGAAAGTGAGTGAACCAAATGCGTAACAATATGAATATCTCTTTTTCTTAATCAGAAAACCGCTTGTGGCTGGACGTCTAGAAACCAAATACAGACTAAACATTAAGATCTTAGAACGTTACATGCAGAAGGAGAGAGCTGCGGCAATTCTTTATCGTTGATCGCTTTCGAAACTTGACTCTTCCCGGCTTTCTGTCGTCGGAGATCTGATTTTATTGAGCCTGAAATCGTTATAATCCGTAGGCAAATGTTTAGAAAAACAGCCACAATCGACTAGCTAATTGTTTATACAGACAGTGTTCACAGCTCTCGCAAATGAAAGAAATAATCTCACATGTCACCACAGAGCCGATGGCCATTAACGCTGTCAACGTAATGTTGCATGAAATAACGGAGATGTTCTGCAGCATCTGACCAATGCCAAGCGTCATCATAATTCCAAAAATCTTAACGAAACAGTAAGGTTTAAAAATGAGTTCAAGAATCTGTATGTTCGTACTTGAGCGGAACAGTTCAAAAAACTAGAAGCAATATCTTCTGACACCGGATACGTAATTTCAGCTGCATATTCAAACCCGAGTGGTAAATAGCCCGTCATAAAAAATCTAGAACCAGTTCACTATGCATTTGGAAAAATTCAAGTAATAAATAATTTTTGTAGTTATTCATGCAACGTAAACAAATGCCTCACTGCTCTCTACATCTATCAATTTCTATCATTAAAAGTAATACCACGATTAAATTCTAGAAAGGACCATGAAATTCTCTTACTTTTTGTAACTTCGAATATAGTAGCTGTTTAGTCTCTTAATACAGCAGAACAATATCGGCTACTTTTCGTTCAACGCAAATGGTAGTGCAATTAAAAACAGCCTTGACAAATACCAACGCCATGGGAATGCAATCCATCGCAGTCTTTCAGATTTAATGATATGTGTGCAACCACAAAAATATAACAAAATTAATAACTAAAGACAATAAACACCACTGAGCTGTGAGCGCAGCTCAACATAATACTTAGAAAGTCGTAAAAGCCGCATGAAAAAATAACTATACCGCCAACACAATCTTGTCGACGGTCATCACCGTCGTTCTTTCAAGCTGATTATGTTTCCGGTTAATCTGCGACCCCACAGAAATGCCTATTCTGTTTGATTTTATAAGCGAGCTTTGGAATAAAGTGGATAACGGCAGTGGGGTTCCTCTTACTGTTAGACTTATTTTTAACGTAAAGGACGGATTTGAACAAATTTCTTCTAAGGGTACCTTCACTGTACCAATCTTTGCGTAAGAAACGTTTCTGTGCTCAATTTTTGCTCTGCAAGCAGAATCACTCGTGCATATCCTAGAGGACCGAAGTCTCATATTATTTGCAATACTTTTAAAAATTAATGTAGGGTCCCAAAACTTTGGTGCAAGCATCTGTGAGAATGGCTGTTCTTCACGAGCACGTCCAGATAGCGGATCTAGCGTTTATTTTTCCTTCGATGGCGAAGTTGATGCTTCTGGACTTATTAAAGGTCGTCAGGAAATTTTTGAACCAATCAGGACAACAATGACTTTGAATACCGCGAAGAAGCTATCCAAAAACCTTAGAAAGGCCAAATATTGTAGCGAAGTTGGGAATTTCTGCAGCACTGATGTTTTAAGATGATCCATGTCTACTTAAGCTATCCCATCGGGAGTTCCTAACTTCTGATGGTAAATGGAACTTTAAAAGGAAACGTGCTTTTCGGAACTACCTTAAAAACCAAAATCAGATCTTTCGCTGAAAGTTTGCAGAAAATGCACGGTCTGCAGTTTCACTCGTCCTTGAACTCTCTATTACAAGTGGAAGAATGTGCCTTACTGTACTTAATCCCTTTATTCCAAAACACTCATACAAATTTAAACAGGACCTGGTAAATGAATGTTTTCGAAGCCATTTCAAGATGGGCGTTTCGCTGATCGATAATTAATAAATTCTAACGCAAATGGGACGCAGATTTACCGCAAACTGAATCAGCCTGAGAGAACAACGGAGGTGAACCTCGTTTATAAAATCAGTTGCAAGACTGTGGCAAGATTCACATCGGAAAACCTATGGAAACCGTGAATATAAGGGCTGAAAAGCATCTTGTATCTTTGAGGAATGGGAAAACGTCAGCTTCTGGAATCGTCTCCAACCTTTTCTATTTGAGATATGCATTTAGTCTGAATGTCATCCCGGTTGATAACTAGAAAGGTCAAATATCGCGCTGTTTATCAAGGAGTCACTATACATGCTGGCTGATAAAAGCCGACTGTGTAACGAATGTACGAGCTGATGTAATTTGAATGACAGCTGGAATATCATCAACCAGCTTGTTGAAAAGAAGTGGTGAACAAATGTTACTATGACTCAAACTCGTTTCATAGCTTAGTGATGTTTTAGTTGTGCAATGTGATCATGAAAATGACTTGTGTGCGGCATTCAAACGGGTCTGTGAGTAAATAAAGTCTTATGACGGTTTTCAGATTGTTGTCTTGAATGGTGGATCGAAATGAGGACCTTAACAATTTGACAATAGCCGTTACCTTAACTGAATTTTCACAGCATATTTGCTGATTTGCTTGCTCCTATGCCCATAAATACCGCCTTTATTTGTAGTCGCCACAGAATATCGAAGCAATCATGGTGTAAATATCATCATCGAGAATGTAGTCCCTACCGTTCCGTGGAACTATTTCAAATCAGTATTGAATGAAATTAATTCTTATATCTGTACATATCGGTATGAACTGAAACTAATTTTTTTCAGTAAGGTCTGGGTAATGTGTGATTGTTACCGCATTATTGCTGATAACCCAACCTACATGAAAGCCACAGCATAAACTTAAGTATGCAGGCAACAAGGCTAAGGTGTAAGTATAGCGATAGACTTAGTAACGAATCTGTAAAACAGCGATATCACCGTCGTGGACTGTACCGCATATCAGTTCATACCGCTATGGACTGAAATATGAATCATCATCATCATCTTCATCATCTTCCGTCGCCGCTTCTCCTTTCGGGTGGCGGAGGCAGACGCGTCAGACAGTGCTTCCAACGTTTCCGATCCTGTGCCAGAGTCTGAGCTTCGGCAAA